ATATTGTTCTTTTTTCACGCCCACTTGAATCAATATTGTTGACTTTTCTCCTTTTTTTCAAGAATAGTTTTCACTTTTGAACCTTTTTTCTTCTTTATTAATTTTGCATGTTCGATTTTTTCAAGCAAATTTAAGGGTATATGGTCATTAACCTTTTTTGTTCTTCTTTCGTTCTCCATTGCAACAATAGAGCCTGAAATTTTGACTTCTTGTTGGGTAATACACAAATCAAAAGAAGGTAGTTCATCCAACAATTTGTCAAATAAATGTATATCTCTCATAACCCTCCTCGGAGTATCAATTTCAGCCATTGAAATGGATAAACAAATTCTTGAATCAAAACCCTATGAAAATAGAAGAAAGTGTAGATGTGTAGATATAGAATGTTCATAAAAACGAGATAAATATGCAATTAGAAGATATCTGATGGATACAAAATCACAAAAATTGCTCTTGCAGTGATGTAAAGGATCTTGAATTTGAATGAATTTGGGGGGAAAAATCAGAAAGTATGTGATGTATGAATATTGATTAAAGAGAAAAATTTGATGATGGTAAACAAGGGAAAAGATCACAAATGTGCCTGCCATAATTAATTAGGCATTCAATAATTACTTTCCTATTTAATATTTATTTATTATATTAAATATCTATAAAAAAAATTATTTATTTGTATATAATTAAGTTTGCTATTTATAATCTAATTATATCCATATAACATGAAAAAAATAAAATGTAGCTATTTTTCTTGAATATATATGGATGTTTGTCATGTTCTAAAGTTTTTCCTTTTATTTTTGGTTAGTGACTATCCTGCTTTTTTTTTATAGGTCAAACACGTGAAAATTCATTTTTATATGAATGACGGGTGAGATGCGATCTCAAGAGCTTTGTCTGCTATAATATCAAGATGAAAGAGATAAAGTAAAGGTGTAAACCTATGAGCCTCGTTCATTCTATTCTTGTATATTAGCATATACTAAGATAATACTAACAAATTTAGTATTTAGATATTCTTGATATAGTGTGATATTGTCTAGTCTGAGTCCCTCTATGGTTTCCCTTAAAAAGGCTCACTTTCATACCATCAGGGGTATCCAAACAACTTAAATGTTCTTTTCTAGTTTTTTCAACTATTATTATGAAGCTTTGTTCGCACACCCAAAAATCTCCTTCTCACACTAAGTTTCACGTGGCCCATCACTATAATCCACAAATTTATTCCGAGATTATTGTGTTCCACCTACATGACCGAGCATTTTTGGCCCCATCAAAACTCGGAGCTAGCTAGTTTTGTGTGTGCACATATTCAACCGAATATTATACTATCACTTCACCATTTTCATAATTGTCTGGTCGAATCATTGGCTCTGAAACCAGTTGTTAGCTAAGTCAGTCCAAAGATACTTTTAATATAGAGTGATTTAAAACTTTGTTCAAATATCAAACCAAAACAATGTTCTTTCTCTGTTTTAAGTCTCATTCTTCTAATTATATTATTTTAGTCACACTCCACTAAAGGCAATTAGAAGCTTAAGTCATATACATGTTTCAAAGCAAGATTTACGTATCTAGTTAATTACTTGTTTTTAATCAAATACAAAACTCATTAAACACTTTGATAAAGTCAAATTGAAAAGTTGCAAACACAATTTACAAAATCTAGGTGCATAATCCCGTTTACTGGCCTGGTTTTTGGTCTTATTAATAAGGTTATGTCACTAATGCACTACTCACTAGCACTAACTACTAACTATATACATAAATGTAACAATCAACATGAAGTCAATCAATAAGCAAAAGCTAAGTGGGGCCTTTTCATACTAATTAAAGTGTACGGGATAATTGAGATCCCTTCGCTCGTTTCAAATCAAAAATATCTTTTCCATAAGAAATATAGCAAGACTCATTGACAATATAACAATCGTTTTAGAAATTTAACCAGATATAATGAGATGATTGAAATCCCTTTACACTTAACTGAAAGCACCGCCTCAAAAATGTGCTCTCCAATACACAAATCTGAATTTAATTATTTCCCAATGCATATATCAAACCACATATGAAAGAAAAAAAACATTTTGGGAATTTATTTTGTTGCTGCAATTCGTTTAATTCAGAACATTAATTAACAGAGAGCAAATAGTTTCTTCAACAAAAAAAAAAACAATTGAATTTAATATATTTATTTGGAAAAAAAATGAACTATCTGAAATCTGTTCTAAGCATCTTCGAACAATGCTGCTTCTGCAATGAATCAACATTCTCATCAATTTCTTTTCGCTTTCGACGAACAATCTCTTGAGAAGAAAAAGAATCAGATCTCTGAAATCTAGCAAATGCAACTGAATTGGTGATATCTTTCAAAGGCCTCCTGAATTTTCTCTTGCAAAATTTCAATTTTGAAGAATTTGGGGTCAATTTTTGTACAGAGAAAGGTGAGATATTCTCCTTATTATCAAATTCAGTAATAATAGCTAACACCTCCATTTTTTCAGATGCAAAAAACAAAGTATTTGAAGAAGTAATTTATAGATATGGGATTTTGAAGAAGGACTAAAATTTTGGAGGGAAGGATTTGAAATTTGTTTATTTTTTTAATCTGTAAAATTTCAGGTGGGTGCTTAATTTTTTAAACAAGGGAGGGAAGAGTTTTTTTTTAATTTTATTTTTTTGAAATTTTGGGTTGTTTTTTTGGTAGAGAATCTAAAGATGTGACATAGAGACAAGTATGTGGGAGATTTGAAAATTTTAAAAAAGTAAGTGGGACCAAATTAATTGGTTTTTGGCACCTTAATAAAAACTTTTTCAAATTAAAATTTAGTTTTGCCGTTGCTTTTGTTAGGATTATAGTAATTGGTATCGTGATAAATTATCTTGAGGTTGGAATAATAATATGGTGATTAGTTATTACAATATAAAACAATGAAAATGATAAAATTGATCCATTAGGTCCTTCAAATCATTTTTCTATTAAACAAGATGGAAGATTTATTTGCAAATAAATAAAAGAAAATTAGATATTATGTAATATATGTAACAAATCAAACATACAATAAGAAATAATATTAGCGTAGCTTGTGTTCGAACGAAACAAGTACCACTAATAGTGTTAATTTGTTTAACAACACAAACAATTTTTTTTATAATTGAAAATAATCTACAATTTTTTTAATTTTTTTCAAAAAGCAAAAAAATATTTTTCAAGATAAAATACCATAAATTTATATTTATTTATCTCTCAGTAGTTTAACATATTTATCTTTTCACTAAATACAAATTCATTTCTTTTTCTTTTTTTCTATTTTCATCATATATTTCCTTCCTCACCCCCGAACACCCCCACCCCCACCCCCATCTTTTTTTGTTTTTCTTTACTTCTTCTAATTCATTTTGGAATAGTCTATCAACTATAAATACAAGTTTTTTCTAAAGAATATTCAATAAAAGGTTAATTTTACAAATACATTTTAAAGGAAGTAATATTTCTTTCTTATTTTCTATTCCTTGAAATTTAAAGATCTAATCTCTTTAAATAATCTTAAGTAAAAGATCATCATAAACTTGATAACAAGGTTGAAAAAAGAGAAGTTCTAGCCTCATGAACATAGAAGGATGAAAAAATTAATTAAATGACTATCTCATAAATTTGTTTGGGAAAATTATATTAAATAACCAGGATATTTCTGCAAGTAAAATTTATTATAAGCATAAGTAGTATGAGGGTCTAAGTAAGAATGTAAGAGAAAAAAAAAGTATGTGTTTGGAGGGAAATGGGTACAATTTTATCAATCATTATTGATACACATGTGAAAGTTATAAGATCATTTCGAGATTAAATTCAAAATAATGGGCTATTTTAGACTTTTAATCAATATAAGAAATTAAACTAGATTATTAAATCAAAAGAAATTAATAATTAATATATATAACATGGGTCCTTAGTGGTAGAGCATTTGACTGCAGATCAAGAGGTCACCAGTTCGAATTTGATAGGGCCTTTTTTTTGTACCATTTTTCGAGCTCAGTCATTAAATAGCCTTATGTAAAAGAAACAACTAAGTTAAAATGAGAAGTTTTAACCGCATGATCTTAGAGCAAGGAAAGAGTTGATTAAATAGTTATATTATACCCTTATTTTGATAAATTACATCAATTGAACAGAAAATTCCTGAAAGTGAAATGTACTATAAATAGAAGTAGTACGGGGTCTGAGTAAAAATGAAAGAGAAAAAAAATAAAAATATGTGTGTTTAAAGAGAAGATTGTACAATTTTCTCTATTAACAAACTTACAAAGTTAGATTTCGACCTGAATATACACTACTTTATCAATCATTATGAATTATTCATGTGAAAGTAATATAAACATTTTGACTTTATATTCGAAATAGTGAACTATTTTAAACCTTTAATCAATAAGAGATAGAAAATTATCATATCGAAAGAAATTAAATATCAATATATATAACAAGGGTCCTTAGCTTAGTGGTACAACATTTGACTGCAGATCAAGAGGTCACCAGTTCGAACCTGATAGGGCCCTTTTGTGCATCACTTATTGATCTTAGTCATAAAATTGCCTCATGTGAAAGAAACTATGTTAAAAATGAGAAGTTTTAGCCCCATGATCTTAGAGTTAGGAAAGAGTTTATTAAACTAATTATATTATACGCTTATTTTGGCAAATTACATTAATTGAACAGAAAATTCCTGAAAGTGAAATGTACAATAAGTAGAAATAGTACATGGGACTGGACTGAGTAAAACTGGAAGAGAAAAAAATTAAAAATATGTGTGTCTAGAGAGAAAATTGTACAACTTTCTCTATTAACAAACTTACAAAGTTAGATTTCGACATGACATTATGAATTATTCATGTAAAAGTTATATGACCATTTTACCCTTAAATTCAAAATAGTGGACTATTTTAGACATTTAATCAATAAGAGATAGTAAATTATTATATCCAAAGAAATTAAAAATCAATATATATAATAAGGGTCCTTAGTTCAGTGGTAGGGCATTTGACTACAGATCAAGAGGTCACCAGTTCGAACTTGGTAGGGCCCTTTTTTGTACCACTTTTTGAGCCCAGTCATTAAATAACATCATGTGAAAGATACAATTAGATTAAGAGAAAAGACATAAAGTGACACCTGAAGTTGTCCCAAATTTTCAAAAAGACATCTTAACTATGTGGACGTCATATTACTCCACAAAAGTATTAAATATCGTTGTAAAGAGACCATTAAGGAGCGTTGATGTGATTTTTTTTTTCAAAAACGAATTAAAAGGCGCCACGTGTCATTTCCTTCTCTATTATTTAATACTTTTTTTAAAATACTCCATCTTCCCCAATTCTTTCAAAAAGATCCCATGGTTGAAGGTTTAAACTCGAATTTTTTTTTATCTTCTTTCTTGAATGAAATCAACCCAAAAAGATAAGAACTTTCTAACTTCTTGTTAATTTCTGGTTGTCAAGGTTTAATTTCTTTGAAAATTGAGAAATCAAGTTATCTTTTGTGATTAGATTTTGAATCATATTTATAATGACAAGAATGATTCGATGTTGTGTGTGATGCAATGCAAACATGAAGACTTACTTTAAGTGCAAATTTAGTGGTCAAAGTAAAAAAAAATTATGTTTTTTCTCATTTCTAAAAGCTTCTAGTGTTTATTAAAATTTTGTTCCATGAGATGAGTGAGTCTGGAGCATTATTTCATTATGAAAAAATGCCACAAATTAAATTCTAGCAAAACCCCAACCCCCAAAACTTAAAGAAGCTCAACTCTTCATAACAATAGAGGCAAAAATGGATGATTCCAAAAAGCGAAAGCTTGCTTTAGCATCCGGAGGCAAATCAACTCCCAAAAAATTGAAATCATCAATTGAAAAGATTTTGAAGAAACCCATATATTGAAAGCAGCAAGAGCGTCATTTACAAGCAAAGATGTGCCAATATTTTAGTTTTGGGTTTGCACTTTATTAATATTTAAATTAATTCATTAAAAGGGAGTGTGCATCACTCTCCTATTAGAATTCTTGGATTGGTGAGAAAATGGATCAAAATGGTCTCTTTACAACGATATTTATTACTTTTGTGGGGTAATAGGACACCCGCATAATTAAGGTATCTTTTTAAAAATTTGGAATAACTTCAGTGGTAACTTCATGACTTTTCTCCAATATTAAAAATGAGAAGTCCCATTATCTTAGAGCAAGGAAATAGTTGATTAAATAGTTATCTTATATGCTTATTTTGGTAAATTACATCAATTGAACAGTAAATTCCTAAAAGTGAAATGTACTATAAAATAGAAATAGTACGGGGGTTTGAGTAAGAATGAAAGAGAAAAGTAGAAATATATGTGTTTAGAGAGAAAATTGTGCAATTTTCTCTATTAACAAACTTACAAAGTTAGGTTTTGACCTGAATATACACTACTTTATCAATCATTATCGATTATTCATGTGAAAGTTATAGGATCATTTTGACTTTATATTCAAAATAGTGAACTATTTAAAACCTTTAATCAATAAGAGATAGCAAATTATCATATCGAAAGAAATTAAATATATATATATATATAACAAGGGTCCTTAGCTCAGTTGTAGGGTATTTGACTGCAGATCAAGAGGTCACTAGTTCGAACCTGATAGGACTCTTTTTTATTTTACTTTTTAAGCTCAATCATTAAATAGGCTCATGTGAAAGATACCATTAGATTAAAAATGAGAAATTTTTACCCCATTATCTTAGAGCAAGGAAAGAGTTGACTAAACACTAAAGTACATCAATTGAATAGGAAATTCCTGAAAGTGAAATTTATTATAAATAGTGTCACACCCCTATTTTTCCCAAACGAAGTGTTTGAAAAATAGAGTTTCTCCAATTAAAGTGACATTTTGAAAATAGATTATTTTATTTCAGAGTCGTCACTTGGAATTGAGTTTTGGTGTTCCAAGTCACCTAATTTTTACCCCTAATCAAAAGGAAGTTGACTCTAATTTTTAATGGTCTGCGAACTAGAAGTCTGGATAAGAAATTCTATTGACCAAGGGGAAGGTGTAAGGCACCCCTCGAGTCCCGTATTTCTAGCACAGTTGCTTCATTGACTTATATCTTGGCTTGACTTAGTTTTTGGATATAGTGTACTTATTAGCTATACATTTACTTATGTCCACCTTCTTTGATTTATTGTAACTGTCTTGTTTAGAGTCCGGAGAATTTTAGTATTGTCGTTTTAGTGGGAGTCGATATTTGAATTATAATAGGAGGTAAACTTCTACGGGATTTAGGATTAATTTTAGAAAAAGAAAATGTTAAAGAGATTAAGACCAATTTCTTGGAATTTTTTCTTATTTTCTTCTATTTTTTTTTTGCACGTTATTTTTTGTAGCTTTTACTTTCATTTTTTATTTTTTTTAACATTCTGTTTCTTCTTCTTCTTACTTTTATTTTATTTTGTCTAACACAATGTTTCTCTTCTTTTTTTTTCATTTAAATAATTTTTGGTTAAGTTTTGTTTTCCCTTTTTTTATTTTACCTATTCTTTAATTTTTACTATTATTACTTTTTATTCAATTTCATCTTTTGTTTCTTCTGTTTCTGCCTTTTTTATAATAGATGTTTATTTATTTTTATTTTATTTTATTTTTACTCTTCTTTTTTTTTTACAATCCGTTCCTCTTCTTTTTTTCTTTTTTTTATCTTCTTTTTTCTCTATTCTACACTATTTTTTCTTTTTTTTTTTTTTTTTTTTTTTTTTGCTCACGTTTTATTTTTTTAATTCTATATATTATTTTTTAATTATTTTTTTCCCTTTAAACTAATTGAGAGAAAATAATATACGTAGTGATATAATAATTTTTCTTCACCACATGATGATAGTGTGAAATTACTAATAAAAGAACTATCTCACGTTGATGAATTAATGACTCACTCAAATGAACTAATGTTCATCTCCTCGATTTTTAATATTTCGGATACGATAAAAATTATTCTAATAATTAATTGTCTCCATAAGTATGGAAATATTATTTATTTATTAAACTCCAGAAACTCTAAATGATAACTAATACAGAATCTCCAACCAATTTACATGTAATTAAATTAAAGTCATAAACGAAGTTGCCAATTTGTACCATCAAATAAATGTACATAAACATGTTGAAATAAAACTAGGAGTAAACAACAACCATCTTTGGATCAAATTAGTTGATTAAATTAACATCAGGTGTAAAAATAATTCGATGAGCAAATTTAAACAGTAGCAATTCATGCAATCAACAATATGATATGCGTCACAAAATAGTGGCATATAACAATACATGTAATTTTAAGGACTACATAACATCATAATCGAATTCAGAACAATTATTTCATTGAACTATATAAGGAATTAGAATTACCTTTTCGTAAAACTTAATTCCAATAAAAGAAACCTCTATAATCTACTGATTTCCAAAGTTAATTATAATTAACTTTAAGGAGCCACGAACTTGAATCCACAAAAAAAATCTTTCTGACTTAAAGTGTTTTGCTTCTTCTTCTTTTTTTCGTGTGTCCTGTTATTCCGTATAACTGATGATGCTTTATGATGGTGATGTATTGTGATATATATAGGAGTCCTCTTTTTTTAGATACGTGGGGGTGTGGGTCTTTTTTTTTGCAGATTGTAGTAGTAGTTTAGTGGGTATAGGAGTGGATTTAGTTGAGGAGAACGTGAGGGAGTGTAGAGAATTGTGGGAAAGTGGGAGTGTGGGGGGTGTATGGTTAGTTAGATTATTTAGGTTTTTTATTTTTTAGTTTTAGTTTTACTTTACTCTTAAAAGAATTATAATAACATATCAACTAATTATTTAAAATTAATAAAAATCTAAGAAAAAGTCAACTAGCTATATATATAAAATCAATTAAATAATACTAGCTTATTTATAAAAACTTAATTTTAAAAATAATATAGATTTTTTTTGTAATCTTTTATTTCTTTTTAAACAATTGAAAATAAAACTTACCTTAAAAAAAAGGATTCTATTTTTGTTGTTTTCAAATCTTTTAAAATAAACTTAATAAAATAAGAGAAAAGTCAAAATATTTAATTTATATTTATAAAAATATTTCAGCTCTAAAAATGGTGTAAAATTTTAAGTTCGGTCAAAAATACGTGTCTACAAATAGAAGTAGTGGAGGGGTCTAAGTAAGAATGGAAGTGAAAAAAATATAAATATGTGTGTTTAGAGAGAAGAATGTACAATTTTCTGTATTAACAAACTTACGAAATTAGATTTCGACCTGAATATATACTACTTTATCAATCATTATGGATTATTCATGTGAAAGTTATAGAATCATTTTGACCTTAAATTCGAAATAGTGGACTATTTTAGACCTTTAATCAATAAGAGATAGTAAATCATTATATCGAAAGAAATTAAATATTAATATATATAACAAGGGTCCTTAGCTCAGTGGTAAAGCATTTGACTGCAGATCAAGAGGTCACCAGTTCAAATCAGGTAGGGCCCTTCTTTATTTTACTTTTTAAGCTCAATCATTAAATAGCTCAAATAAAAGATATAATATGAATTTGACAACGAGGTTGAAAACAGAAAAGTTATAGTCCCTTGATCTTAGAGCGATAAAAGTTGATTAAATGGTTATCTTATAAACTTATTTGGGTAAATTACATCAAATGACCAGAAAATTTTGCAAGTATTTATTATAGATATAAATAGTATGAGGATCTAAATAAAAATGAAACAGAAAAAAAAAAAGCATAAAAGGTATGTGTTTAGAGGGAAGCTTGTACATTTTTGTATTAACAAACTGACAATAACTAGATTTCAGATTAAATATATGCTACTTAAGAATTAAATTTAGTAATATTGATTTACGTTCTCCAAACAAGCATTAAACAATCATTATGAGTTACTACTATTGCAAATGTGAAACTTGTAAAATTATTTGACCTTAAATTCTAAGATATTGAACTATTGTAGATTTTTAACCAATATAAGATAACAAATTATAATATCAAAAGAAATTAATAATTAATATTTATCACAA